AGGGTGGGGAGCTGCAATAACACCCCCCAGGAGTCAGAGGCAGACAGAGGTAGATCCAGGAGATCCATTCCATCCGCAGCCCCCAAGAGTACCTAAGACAAGAGGTCACACATCTCTGCAACACCTGCACGTCTATCCCAACAGGAGGGAGGCCCCAGATGGAGTGCCTACAACCAAAGGGCAAGAGTCACAGAGGACCAGAGGTCACCCTGGTATAAGCTGTGGCCCCAGGTTCTCAAGAAGTCCGAGCTACCCTGGACCACCAAGGGAGGTGGCCAACGACCATGCAACCATTTTCTTTCTCCAACTGTTTAAATTTTATTTGTGAAGAAATTCATAATGGCATTACTAGTTAAGGTTAATGGAAAGTTTGGCTCAACAGAGCTCTGACTTTTTGTCAGCCTGGCTACAGTGCTGCAGACAAACCTAGGGTTGTTCTTGTTTCCTTCAGTGGTGAATTGTAATGTGTTGTATTTTTCCAGGCTAAATTATGATCTTCTAAATTAGATGCCATTTTCTCTCCAGCTTCCAAATTATCTGCTTCAATGTGTGCGTCTGAGAGTTATACCAGAGAGTCAAGGACTTCTGATTGGAAGTGGCCTTTTTCAGAGTTGTACATAGTGAAGATGTAAAATTATTAACAAGATACTCAACCTCTTTGGGAGTAGAGTTCAGGTAGCTGCTCTGCACTGGCACATGGTAACAGGACTGATTCCTACTCTCCCAGAGCACTTTATTCCTCATTCACACAAGCACATTCTTCTATGCTTAAGTGCATTTTATCTACCAATTACACTCATTTATACTCCAATGGATGCATGGGAGAACAACTTAGTGTTAGTATCTTGCCCAAGGATATTCAGGCATGCAGAGTGGTACAGCCAGGGTTTAAACCACCAACCTTGCATCAGTATATGACCTGCTTTACCTCCTGAGCTACAGCCACATGGCGTTAAAGATGATAACATTGGATGATTTTTTTTTAAAACTTAGTTATAGCACTTTCAGAAAGACATCTACTGTGATACAATCTATTCCCCACTGCAGCATAAACCATTATTGTAAATGTAAGTAATATTGAGACACGATCTGACAAAAACATTTTGAATCAACTGAACGCTTTTCAGGGAGTTTTTAGGACATGCTGCTAATAACTAATTACAGTAGTCCAGTCTAGAAGTCATAAATCTATGAATTATTTTTTTCTCAGCAAATTCGGCCATTCTGTTTTCCCAGGAGCTTGGGACAATCCGCTGGAGGAGCGCTAACAGTGCCTATGCTAGCTTTGGGCACACCAACAGGGGACTAGCTAGCTATAGGTTTTTCAAGGGTGCGGAGTTGGGCCTTCAGTGATTCTGGCCTCCATATGAAACAGACTACATTTATTACAAGTATCATTACTGCTATAGGATGCACAGAAGTAACAAAAACATCTGAAACCCTGTGCAAGAATGGGCATGAGGGATAGGTGAAAAGGTCATGGTGCTAGCGAGTCGGCTACAAGTTAAGTTAAGCTAGTGAGTCCCTAAAGACCCAGTGTGAATTAAATAAAGGGACTAGATGTTACAATCCCTGATATTATTGTGTGGATATATACTTAGTGTGAATATAATTAGTGGGCGGTTCAAGACAAAGTGTGCTTTGGATAAGTTACGTGATGATTACACTATGAAATAAGATGTGTTTTTAATTAAACGTTCATGAAACGTGTTTGTAAATGCTCCTACTTTGTAAAAGAATGCATTTTATTTCACTATACTTACTAGGATGTATAATGATAAATACTAGGATGTATAATGATGTTCACTGCAAGGTTTACTGGATTTCTATTAAAATTATGGGAGGCTGTGGCTCATGAGGTAGACTGGTTTGTCCAGTTGTGTTGATGTTTTAATCCAGTCTGCTTGTCAAATATCCTTGGGTTAGATATTGAATCCTAAATTGACACTGATCTTTAGTTTGCAAGTTTAAAGACTTTAGATTAAAAGGGGGGGGACTGAAAATCTGCTTGGACACCTGCTGAAAAAAACAACAACAGCACAACAGGGAAACCACAGCAACACCAGGTACTTAGAAAGTATAACAACTTTATTAACTGCTGACATGTATTCAAACACTTTTGGTCCTATTGATCTTACCAAGTCAGCTTCAATAATTAGTTCATCCAAAGCATCAATGTCTATTAGACCACACTCCTACAAGGTTATTCAAAGACTTTCATCATCAAATGTGGAATAGAAACATCAACTGTGATTCATTTGTAGAGGAATGGCTTGTTTGAATGAATTCATCCAGGATTTAGATTTGTATCATAGCACATTACTAGTGAATTTTACAATCTTCTTATGACAGGGTTTAATCTCAGTGTTGAACCTCAGAGCAGTGTTTCATAATGTTCATGATAACATTGTATTACAGACATAATAATATACCACTAGTAAAAGGGGGATTATTTATTTATTTAAATGTTATTTATTGATATATTCAAGCTTGTGTGGGTAAACATGCTTCCCTTAGACAACATACATTTATCTTTGAAGCCAGATGACACAAATCAGTTAGTTTCAAGTTTCATTTAAAGTCTTTTTTTAAACAGATTTTTTCTCTGATTCTCTGATTTCTCTGTAATATGTTATATGTATTGCAGGTTCTTTACCTTGCAATATAAAAAGGCACTGACTGACCGTTATGCTGTTGGTGCTGTATAAATAGAATTGGGGCAATTTGGGGTTTAGTCTTCCCCAAGAATACTTTACCTCTAATGGCCAAATTAAACATGATGTACAATTCAGTTTAATGAATGATTAAAGAAAAGATTTTTATAATGTTCTTTCTTTGTCCTACAGATTCGTCTGCCACAAGTAAAGAGTGAATCATACCTTCTGGTGTGTGCAGAAGGGGGGAAGCTCCAAATATGGAGGAGACACTTATCCTAAGCTCTCTGAAGATGTCACCACTAGAACAGGAGAAAAGAACTGAGCTTCTGCTTTTTGCTCACTCCTTGCCCGAGCCCCTCACAGCTTTCCAAACTTCTACCTGAAAAGAAAAAGCAGGTTAAAGACTGTTAATATCAACTGTTGTGAATGTGTTGCAGAAGATATGAAGAGAAAAGCAGTTACTGGAAGCTAATGAGGAAGAAATGATGAAGACATCTTCTGACCTGCCCAGAACACACTGAATTTACTTTGTTGTGTGAACACTGAAAGGGAAACAAGCCAGATAAATTGCTCCCTAACACATTACCTTTACGCATTTTGCTACAATTTTTTTGTATTATGTATCAACACAGTTTGTATTGATGTTCCATAACAATGGTTTGCTGTGTGACTTTAGAACTGAAATTGTTGACCACAATATCTGTTTATGGCACCTCCATGACTCTTACAGTATGAACAGTGTGCTACAAGCAAAACAGTTCAGCCAGCCAAGTGAAATGAATCATGTCAGGGAAATAATATTTGATCTCGTGCTGAATTTGTGACTTTGCTCAATTACAACAAAAAATGAACAGTTTTTAATTCAATTCAATTTTATTTATATAGCGCCAAATCACAACAAAAGTCACCTCAAGGCGCTTCATAGATACAGAGAAAAACCCAACAATCATATGACCCCCTATGAGCAAGCACTTTGGC